CAGATGTCGAGTACGCTGTGAGGGACTTTTTGATGTCCACAATTTTCTGTGTTGAGAACAGACCAGATTCTCCTGAATCAGTAGAATCAGAAACAGAAGAAAGGCCGCTCTCTGTTGAATCTATACCAGAATACAGGCCCATGTCTCCTGGGACATTAGTGCTACTTGGAAACATTAGATCAGCATCTCCAGAATCTACTCAGTCATTTGATGAACACAAGAAGCTTTCTCCAGACTCACCTCTCCCTTGGTTTGCACAAAATGTTTTTGAGGCTCCAGCAGCAGGAACACTTTATGGCAGCTCATCCTCTGAATCATTATCATCATTGTTTTCAGATCTGGACTGTGATCTGACATATTCTCCATTTAACGCAAGAGTCACTACCAAGAGAGCATTGTCAGCGCAGTCCGAAAGATCATATGACGAACTCCTGGGGTCTGAATCACCAGTGCCCGATTTCACAAAGAGTTTTGTGGAAACTTTCACGTGTGTGAGAAACATGTCACCATTAGACTTTTCAGATTCTGACAGTTTATCCCAGGCTTCAGCTCCATTCTGTACGGGAGAAAGAACAACATCACCTGAATCTTTAGTATTAGATATGGAGGAAATACTTGCATCCAGATCATCTTTAAATGAATCAAAAGACCCACCTGACCCTAAAGAATCACTAATTATGGTAACTGAGTATAATCTCGCTGATGATGCTGAGCAATGGAGTCCAAGTTCTCAAGCAAGTCATCTTCAGTGTGCCAGAGAAACTTTGCATAGTAAAAAAAGGTTTACACAGTTTGTTGACAGCACAATGGACTACGAGAGAAGTGAAACAGATGACGAAAATCGGACAGAAAAGGATAAAAATTCAGAGGAGGCAGAGTCACTTCCACCTATGACTGAACACATTTTCTCTTCACGAGCACTTCCATACAGACAGGGAAAGTCTATATTTGAATTGCCTGAGGCAGAAACACAGGATGAAGGTTCACCAGAATCCTCCATGTCCCCCAATGCAGTCATGGTGTTAGATGCAAGAGCACCATCACCAGGACCTGTGACATCAGTCAGTCAGTTCAGACCACTTTCACCAGATTCTCCAGTACCAGAATTTACAGTGGCATTGTCAGAATGTGTAATGTTTCCCAGATCATCATCGTCACCTTTAGCATTGGGTTCAGATCATATGCCACTGAATTTAGACTTTGACTTTGTAGAATGCAGACCATCATCTGTGGAAGTTCCACTGTTTGATGATCAAAACGAGACAGACAGGCCACTATCCTCTGAGTCCTCTGAATACATACCTGTGTCATTTGAATCTGCCGTACACATGGCTGACAAAAGAGCATCATCTCCAGAATCAATGCCAGAGTTCAATGAGAACAGGCCGCTGTCTCCAGACTCTCCCATCCCTCAGTTTACAGAGTCGTTGGAGGCTTACAGCACTATTTGTGAGTCATCGTCAACTGAATCACAGAGTTCAGACTCAGAGTACGAGTTGATTGTCAAATCATCAAAAGTTCCTGGTAGTGACAGACCATCCTCACCTGAATCTGTGTCGTCTCTCGGTGAGTTTGAACAACTGTTACCTGACTCACCAGTACCTGAATTTATGAGAATATTGTCGTCTTATTTTATGAATGCTACTCCAGTAGATAGATCATCTTCTCCGGTTTCTTTTGCATCAGACTCTGAGTTTGTGGCCTTGCCTGTTGATTGTTGGATTAATGATATTTCGCGACCTTTGAGCCCTGAAACTGCGGAATCAGAGGAGGAATTAGACTCTGGTCCATCTTCATCGTTACTTATCAAAAGCCCAACAGCGATGTCACCGTTAGTAATTCAAATTGGGGATAAGTCTGGTGAAGAACATCCTAAGTGGCAAGAAATGAAAGAATTACAACCAGAATTTCAGTCATACAAAGAATGGATGGAGCCCGGATCCCAGGTTGGAAGCTTCTCAACTTTACAAACCACCGTCTGTGAGGAAGACTCACATGTTAATGATGGTGAAGGAAAGCAGAAGAAGACCCAGCCTGTTAGTGTTGATGATCTAAAGACCAAGCTAGCCTCTCAAAGGGTAAGACTGAAAGCATGAAATCCAGCAGAGAGTAACTAGTTTTCATTAACGTAACCTTTTATGTCACTTGGACATAAAAAAGTGTAACTGTGTGACAAAAAAAGGAAAATACATTGCTGAACTAACAACAACATGGAGTGCATTAATGCTGGGGATGTGTCGTGAGCTACTAATTATTCCCTTCAGTTCATTTGTCTGATGACAGACGGTTGTTTATTGAGGGGCACTTTTTGCAGTCTGTTGCACGTTTCTAAGCAGTAAACCTATTTCCCTAAACTCAGACTAAACTTGCTTTGTTTTTCTGGATTAAAAAAGGCTTTGTCTGCTTGGTTAAAGCTCACCCTCTGGTATCCTTAGTTAGCTACTGAGATAATGTTGAAATTTCACTTCCAGGCTCCTGAGACATCAAAGGAAACACGGTTTCAAACAGACGATGACACACAGCTTCAGTCTGCTACAACAATAACACAGCAGAGCAGTAACATAGGTGTGCTCTTTGGTGAAGACAAGCTGATGGCATCAGTCCCTCTACAGCTACCTGAACACAGCACATACACAACTCACAGAGCTGTTACTCCAATTCTGCCTTCACGTGAGAAGGCTTCATTTGCATCCCACAGGTGCTCTGAGTGGGAGCTGTCCCTGAAGGAAGCACAATCTAGTGAGCACTTTTCACCCTCGCCAACTCCTGATCGAGATTACCAGGCAATGCTTCCAGAACATCTGAGAGCTCCTGACTGTAGCCAAGTGTCCTTGAATGACAGGAGCCTCCTGTTGTCAGTGTGCAGCGACTCTATGTCAGCTAAGCTTGAGAGCCAAGCTCTGACTAAGAAAGAGTCTGAAACCCTTGGAGACACCGAAGACTTTTCACCAGACTTTAAGAAGGTCCTCACAGGAACTAGAGAGAAACAAGCGTCCGAATCTGAATTAGGTAAACCGAATGTCCCAGTAAAGCAGCACTTCAAGGGCTCTGAATCTCCACAGCACTCTGATTCAGATATGGAGTTCTTTGACTGCAGACAAGCCTTCTCTGACTTTTCGGAACCAGAAGATGTGATTACCTATCATATCTCTGAACCCCCTTCACCAGTACCTGGGAGTAGTCTTGATACTGGCCTTCAGCGTGCTACTCAAGCAAACCAGCTCTTCTTGCGGGCAGAAGATAGAAATCTCTTCTCTACCAGCAGCGAAAGTCTTCCTGAATTTGCTTATGATGTAGAGGCATATCAGACAGACAGTGGGCTCCCCGTACTGGAGGAGCTCCCTTCCAGAGATCAGGCAGAATACTATGACGATGATGACTTCCTGGGACGGGTAAGAGGTTGAGCATGAGCACAGTGCTGTGGATCTGCATTCCTAAATCAAGAGACAAACAAGCAGTCGGTACTTTGGAGACTAAAAGACACTGAAAATGCTTTTGTGTGCATAAATATTAGAAATATTGCAAATGTCATAACACAAACACTTCTTCCTCACACCAGTGTGCTGTTTGGGGTTTGTTTGTTTGCAGTATCTCAAACTGTTGATGAAATGCATGAGCTGCTGTAAGGAATCTTTAACAGTCTGAGACATTTGCACCTGTTTGCTTTGATTTCTGCCTGTTGCAGTTCATCCCACTCACATGTACAGATAATCCCCCCCTTAAATATATGCAAAAAGAATTTCCTTTAGCTATGAAGGATACAGTCATATGGGGCAGTGCAGTTATGCTTTTGTTTATGCACAGCTCTCTTAAGGTAAAGAGTTGAGTTCTGGTCTTTGGACTACTACCCCAGCTTGAGTCTTTTATTTTTTAGCCGTTCTGTTGCAGATCTGTGGGAGTACTTCAGACCCCCCTTTGTTCTTCAGTAGTGGTAGTGTCTTCGGTACAGGTGGCCTTTCATTTGACTCTGGGATTCAGGACTTCCCTACACTGACTGCACGTACCCAGGCCAAGTGCAGCTCATCGCCTCTACTCTAACTCCTGCTAACAATGTTTCCACTTTGACTTGTTTGGACGTCAGATTGATGGACAGCAACAACTTCTGGCCAACAATCTGGGCAGTTCATTGCTGAGTTCATTGCTTGTGTTGATGCTCACCTGAATGCTGTAGACTTCTGCTCACATGCATTTGATTAGCAGAACCTGCTACTTACCCTCTTGATTCCTGTGGAAGCAGTAACAGTGTACTCAGTTTTTCACAGCATTGCACAGAGACCTGTGGCTTCAGAAGTTAACTGTAGACACTGTTTAGACCCATGCTATGTTGACCCATGCTGGTTATGTGCAGGAGATAGCTGAGGAGCTAGGGATGCTGTCCTCTGATAGCTCAGAGGAGGATGTACTGACCACCAGGGTGGTCCGACGCAGAGTAATCATTCAGGTAAACGAGCATGACTGCGTGCAGTGCAGTGCGCCTGTGGCCTGTTGAAGGTTTAGTGGATCGTTTTGCTGCTCCTTTTTCAGCCTGAGCTTTTCAGATTAATCCTGTATAATACACTCGGCTCAAATTCATTTTCCTCCAATGCAGAAAGTCATATTTCAGAGAGTCAGCTAGAAACTTTGGTCCTTTACAATTTCATTGACTTTAGATTCACATTTTTGGTTTTTTTGCTTGTTTTTTAAGATAAATTTGTATTTCTACACTTTGTTCTACACATGTTGTCACGTCACCATTAGGGGTTTTTTTCTTTTGTTACTGGAAGTGATACTTGTGCATTGAAAAAGGAAAGCTGCACTGTGTATAACCTGAATGGACCCATAATGACGCTGGTATTCAGCAATCGTCAGTTTTCAGACGGACTTGAAATACAGAGATCTGTTGGAGCTGACTATTATTAATTACCGTTGGATTGATTGCAAAATGTTCTTTGACGTCTGTAGATTGTGCGTAATGTGAGTGAAGGTGTGAACCGACAGCAAGCGTTTTGTGTCTTTTGCAGGCCGATAACCTGCCAGACATCCCCCTGCAGACCCTGACAGAAGAGAAGTACATCGATGAAGATGGCAACATGGTGGTCAAGAAAGTGAGGAAGATTCAACACTGAAATCTGTATTACACTTAAAACCTGGTCCTTCATACAGAAAACCTTTACAGTGACTTTCCTCTCCAACAGGTCACGCGGAAGGTCATTCGTAAATATGTGTCTCCAGACGGCATGGAGACACAGGAAGTGACCATCGAAGGCTCTCACCAGGAGTCGGTCCAGATAGAGGAGGGAGATGCTGTTTCAAAGGTGGTGAAGAGAACTGTGCTTCACAGTGGAGGCGATCAGAAGGAGGTGAGAGCCTCTGACGTCTGCTAATCCTACTGTTGCTTTGTGTTTTATATCCGGTAATGAGGAGAGTTATTTTGCTGCAGTCGAGAGTCAATTAATTTTTTGCCTCAAAGTGCTGCAACCTGTTGCAGGTGAGGGGAAAGAGAAGCGAGCAGAGAGGTGAAGTGCAGGGAGAGAGTGCTGCTAATATTAAATACAGAAGTGCTGCATATACACACTGAGACTGAGCGAAGACAAACTGCTTAGTCTAACAAACTCAACCAAGGGATCATTCAGGGCCTCCTGATGCAGCTGTGACGGTTTTAAGCCTGAACCCAACTGGACGCCGGCTGCAGTGGAGGGTCTGGCTGCAGCTCAGGTAGATCAGTCTGCATGCCTGATGTCCTCGGGGAAGACATTCACCCCAAGTTAACGTCTCTGATGGTCTCGCTTTCTCTCCGATGTGTTTGGGTGAGCCAGTTAACTGTAAATCCAGTTAACTGTAAATCCAGTTAACTGTAAATCCAGTTAACTGTAAATCCAGTTAACTGTAAATCCAGTTAACTGCAGGCACGTCTTCGCTGTAGTTCAGTCCTCTGTTATTCAAAGTAACCATGACATCGTATTTCCTTCCCAGCTGACCTTTTCAGAGTCCTCAGCTCTGAGCGCTGCCACAGCGTCAAAGTTTGAAGTGGAGCCAGTGCAGGGCAGAAAGGTCAGCAAGGTTGTCAAGACAACTGTGGTGAGAGGCGAGAGGATGGAGAAGCACACAGGAGACCCGTCGCTGGCTGCAGACCTGCCTTCAGCCAGAGAGGACTTTGAGAAGGTCAGTAAGATTTCAGCTCGGGAATAATATTTGTTTTTAGACGTGTCGAGGATGAAAGGACACTCGTGGTGTAATGCAGGCATTTTATCACTGCGCTGAGAAAACCTTTCTAGCATTTGATCTGTCTTTCCTCATTCTTCCCCTCCAGGCAATGAGTTACGCTGGAGGATTTGGAAAAGTGCTAATGCCGCATATAGTAGAGAAAGAGATTGTACAGGATGACGGTTCTGTGGTTAAAAGGTTGGACTGCATGAGTGTGCTGTGTGACCACACTGTGACTGTCCTAACCTTTACTGTCTGTGAGGGAGAAAAGAGACACCTGCGCACATTATTTATACAACTTCTGTTGTTTTCATCAGATCCTGAGATGTGCAGTGTAGCAATAATAGATGCAGACACACATATTTCACATTACTGGCATTCCTGGTATGAAACAATGGTGCCATTACTGGTACAACCAGTGAGTAATACAGCAAAGTGACAGCAGCATATGCTAATGTTTGCTTATGCTCTGCTGGTTTCTGATGCTTGTTTCAGCCACGTTTTGTTCCAGCGGGCTAGAGAGAGAACAGGCTGTGAATATAAGAGTGAACTTGTTTTTCATTTCAGTCCACATGATGTGTGACATCATTCTTTTAAAAGGGCGTCGCCACGTTTGATTTGATCCAACAACAAAGCCTCCAGCTGGACTCAAACCAGCATCCTTTTAGATGTGACAACACCATGTAACCACACGAGTATAGATGCAATACAGTTAAAATTATTAGGGATTTAGGAAACAACACAATGATTCTGAGTTTGTTTAGATGGAAATCTGAAATATCAGAAAAACATTTCAAATCCTGATGCAAACATTTAAACAACAGTTAAAGCATGATGCATCATGTGGTGCGATATGATTAATTAACATGGAAATGAAGGTGATGCATTTATTGTTCTTTATGAAACAAACGTGGAGCCTGGCAGTCTGCAGCCACTTACTGTGATCCTGGATGAACTACTACTGTTTCCTGTTCCTGCAGAAGCCAGATGCGTAATTCACGCAGCCAGAAGAGGACCGTGGTGAGGGATGCTCAGGGGAAGCATGTGCACCTAGAGCGCCTGGACAACACCGCAGATGCCCTGCAGCCTGATGCGCTGCAGCAGCACCTGCACCGACTGCTCCAGCGCTACTGTGAGGACACCGAGGATGAGGAGGAGGATGAAAACCTTAGCTGAGCAGCTGCTTCCACTGATCTACATTTTCCACTGAAGCTTTTGGTGACGTACACTTCCTCAGATCGAACCGCCCTCTGTCCCTGCTCATCACTGGAGTTTTTCTTTCTTCTTCTTTGGTTTGTCAGATATTGGAACCGTATTTTTGTGCTTTAACGATAGATGTTCGCTCTGATTGTGACCAAAGATAGCCACCCCTCACCGTCCTGATGATTTTTGTTCGTGTTTCGCTTCCTGTGGCTGCTTTGATGTGATGTAGGTACGATGCACCAAAGGCGGATTAGAAAGAAAAGGCGCGTCTCGGATGTTTCGCCTCACGCACCGGCCTCTTCTTGAAGAACTCGTGTAAACATTTGTACATAGGGGAGTTGATGACAAAAAGTCAAGCTGGGACTGGAAAGAAGCTGAAATAATTCAAAGCATTTACCACGTTAGCCCACCTGAACCTGCTGTACATGCACCAGCTGCAGAACGGCCACAGTACACATGAGATTAATGCCAGATAAAGTGTGAATGTGTATCATCAGAAACTCAGCCGACATCAACCCGCCCATCTGTTCACAAAGGCTGTGTGCTCACACCTTTTGTCATCTGCCCTTACTTTATCCACGTGTCTGTCCTTCCCACGTGTGGAGCATTGTTTCTATCACCTGTGTGTGCCGTGTCTACGGAGAAAGAAAGTAGTGATGATGAATGTTTCGGCGCAGCACTCATGTCCTCGTGCTTCATGTTGGTGCTTTTCCTTACCTGCAGCTACTCGTAGCGTTTTCACACCTCTTAAAGCGCAGCTTTGACTGTTACTGTCAACAAATCTACAGGAAAACCCAACGCCAGCTCTGCTTTTGCTCCTCTGCTGCACACAGCTGTCATTGGCCATGCATGCAGCAACATTTCCTCCAGCCTGCAACACTGACTTTAATATAAAATGAAGTGTTGAGTCTGTGAGAAAATGGACAGTTTGCCTTTGATTTATTAGGAAAAATGGCATCACAGGCTTCATGGTCTCAGTGTTCTTCAAGCTCGTTTAGCAAATTATGGACGGAAAATAGACATTGGAGCAAAAACCATACGAGTTGGTAACAGTCGGAAGGAAGAACTATCAACAGGAAGAGACCTCTGGTAGTGATTAAAGAGACAATGAACAGCCCACAGGCTCTAATTAGATCAACTGATCGCTCCAACAGAAACCAGTGGGTCCTTTTAGAGTCTGGTTATGGTCCCAGTAACACTCTGTTGGTTTTGGGCTTCTCGTCAGATTTGTAGACACGTAACAGCAGACTTGTCCTTTAGTTTTGTTTTTCAACACATAAATAATGTAGTCGTGGATTTGCTTGTTTCCTGTCATCACTGTTATCACGTTTGACTTTAAAGCCACTTTAAACCCAGGCCGAGGCTTTTACCCGCTTCATTTGTGACACCTGTGTTTCTTTATTTATTGCTGTGTGTGTGTGTGTGTGTGTGTGTGTGTGTGTGTGTGTGTGTGTGTGTGTGTGTGTGTGTGTGTGTGTGTGTGTGTGTGTGTGTGAGAGAGAGAGTTTGGATGTATTTTGAAGCTACAGGTAAACCTCTGTTTGTTTCTTTGCCATCGCAGACAAACAGTTGTGTTGCTATAAGGCGGCTGCGACGCATTCAGACATGATTACGTGTGTTTGCTGTTCATCTACATATTTTCCATGTAACAATGTTGCCATTTACTTTGATCCACTGGAAGAATAAAGGTCAAAAAGAGAAAACCAATCTCATAACGGAGCATCTTAATTCCATGGTGATGACAATATATACATATTAACAGTGCAAATATTTATGCGGGCATGTATGACTTTATCAGATGATCAAAATAAAAATGCTAATGAGGTAAAAGAGCTGCAGTGTGTTTGTGACACAACAATAAAACTGTACATGTCTCGAATGATGCCCGTTGTCATTTTTTCACCACATATAACTTCAAAGAGTTTGAGGCAAAGACGAAGGATATTTCTGTCCACTGGGAGTTCTGGGAGAACACTGGGAACACTGGTCAAAGCTGAACTGAGCCTGCAGCAGGTGAGTTTTCTGTAAATCAGTTAATGCTGAAGAAAGTGCCAACTGTACACACGGTTTTATGATTGTAGCTTTGGGAAGACTTACTCGTATTATCTTACGCTAATTTTAGTGTATCTGATAAAACCTGAATCTTTATACTACGAATGTTACAGAGTTACACAGAGGAGGGTCAGATATGCTGCTTTGAATGCACATTTATCAGTCTCAGAGTTTGTGGAGGTATTTTGGTCATAAATATGTGAAAAGCTCGATTACTGCTCACGTGTTTATGAGGTATTGTATTACCTTACAATATAAAGCATTTTTAGACTGTTGTGATTCGGTGCTATGTAATAACATTGAACTCGAGGAGTTTGTGGTCAATTCAATGTCTACGAGGTTTTGTAGGTGCAAAACACAACGAGCAACAAACATAAGTAGGGACATAAACATAATTCTGTGTAATGTGAAATTATAGATACTCTAAGCAGTGCTTTTGCACATCAGTGAACCTCTAAGATGCTGCTTGCTTAACGTTGTTTGAGACATGTTGCTGCTGTTGCACACCTGATATATTTTCTCTTATTAAATTCTGCTTTTATTTACACAGTGTCTCCACTTTCTTGAATTGGGATTGTGTGGTAGTATGTGTTAGTGCGTGATGTTAGTAGGTGTTTCCTTTGACACAGCCTGAGAACTCTTTGTAAACTCTTTTTCACAAACTTTGGTTGTGTAATCTGGCTAACTCGCACACAAATACACAGGATAGATTTTAGTCTTGGGTTGTAGTTACTATGTTTATGTTTATATATAGATGTTTTTATTTACTTATATGACCATGAAGAGGCCGCTAGGAAAGCTGCATCCACCAAGTACCTGCAGAGGATCAGGCAAGTCCTGAGGAGTCAGCTGAACGGTAAGAACAAGATCCGGGCTCAACACGTACGCCCTGCCCGTGATCAGGTACCCTGCTGGGGTAATAGGCTGGCCAAAGGAGGAGATAGAAGCCACTGACCATGCATGGTCTTGATGCATGCATTCACCCCAAGTCCAGCACCCTGAGGCTGTACGCTAAGCAGAAGGAAGGACTGGTGAGTGTCAGCACCACAGTCCAGGATGAGACAACGAACATCCAAGAATACATTGGGAAGATGGCCCCAACTGACCAAGTGCTCAGTGAATACCTCAGGCAGCAGAAACCCAAGAAAGAGGAGGGAGACGAGGAACCATCATGGAAGGACAGGCCCCTGCACGGTATGTACCACCGGCAGATAGAGGAGGTGGCTGATATCCAGAAATCCTACCAGTGGCTGGACAAAGCTGGACTGAAAGACAGCACAGAGGCACTAATCATGGCAGCACAAGAACAAGCTCTGAGTACAAGATCCATAGAGGCTGGGGTCTATCACACCAGGCAAGACCCCAGGTGCAGGCTGTGTAAAGATGCCCCAGAGACAATCCAGCACATAACAGCAGGGTGCAAGATGCTAGCAGGCAAGGCATACATGGAACGCCATAACCAAGTGGCCGGCATAGTGTACAGGAACATCTGTGCCGAGTATAACCTGGAAGTCCCGAGGTCAAAATGGGAGATGCCCCCAAGGGTGGTGGAGAATGACCGAGCTAAGATCCTGTGGGACTTCCAGATACAGACGGACAAAATGGTGGTGGCTAACCAACCGGACATAGTGGTGGTAGACAAGCAGAAGAAGACGGCCGTAGTTGATGTAGCGGTTCCCAATGACAGCAATATCAGGAAGAAGGAACATGAGAAGCTGTAGGGGTACCAAGAGTTGAGTGAAAAACTCTAAAAGATGTGAAGGTAACTTGGTCATTTTTACATCAAATTATTTCAACATTTTGTTTTATTTCAGTTTTATTTCTACAGCTCCAAATCACAACAAAATTACTGCTTTATACTGTAAAGACCCCACAATAACAGAGAAAACCCCAACGAGCAAGAGCTTGGTGACAGGAGGAGGAAGGAAAAAGCCCTTTTTAACAGGAATAAGTCAGGGAGGGGCGGCATCTGCTGAAACCGAGTGAGGATGAAGGGGCGGGGGCGGGCAGGTTCAGCAGGATTTTTCACAATCAGCATCAAAGCACAACAAGAAATATCAAAGCTAAGCATCAGCAGCAAAACTTCAGAAATATCACTGATGCAGAGTTCACAAAAGGAATGAAAAAACAAATCGCTCATTGGCATAAATCACATTTTATTTGAGATTTCTTAAACATCAGGCTTGGCCCATCATGGCAACATTAAATACCAGCAGCCCATCATACAGTTCAATCACAAAGATAAACCCAAAGTGTCCTTTGAAATGGACAAATGTGATCAAAGAAATCAATACGAAGCAGTTCTCTAAATATTTCAGTGATTATTTAACACAAAAACACACCTGTGACTGTCTTTAACGGCTTCCTCTGCACTCAGTTCAATCTGGAATTAAAGTTTGTTCCCTGTGATCTCCACAACAACCGTTTCCCTTTCAGTCAGATGGTGGCACTAAAATAACTATAACGTAACATAATGAGTGTTGAGCATGAGTAACCCGGTCAGTGATGAAACTTAGCAAACTGATTTACACGGTTAAACAGGGTTCGACTTTAAGCAGAGGATGAAATACGGAGGATGTTCTTAAAGGTAAGTAAGGAGAAGGACAGGCATCAATATCACACTGTAAAATGTAAACAAACAGATTCACATAATTAACTTCTTATTGTACGAAAATGTGACTGGCAGGAGTCAGAATGGCTTTAAGAATCTATGTCTACACTTCCTCCCACGATGCTCCGTGATGACCGAACTCACTAAAACAAACAGTTTCCCTTTTAAACATGTAGTTACAGTTCCTAGTAAACATACATCAGTAAGATAAGTCAACTCATATGGATCAAGCAAAGAGCAAATTACATGATTACCAAAACCTATGGATCAGCCAAACAAAGCAGGCTTGTGTCTGGAAACAGAAACGTGATTAAAAAGTTTGATATCGGTCATTGTGCCAAAAGGTAAAAATATCACAATAGCACAACATGTGTAATCCTGACTGGGAGCTTCACAGACTAGCCCATTAAAATCAAGTGGAACCAGTGGCACCATTAGAGTCCACTTCTATTTAAAAAAGAATATATCAAGAAACCAGTAATAAAAATGCTGCAAACAGAGATATGTTGAACACCCTGCACTCTCTCTACAAAGTGATGTTGTCAAAGTTTGAACTCCTTTACATTTAGAATAAACTTCAGTTCAGCAGCGACAATGTAAACAACACACTGAGAGGGCAGAGCGCTAGCAAACGAGGGGGAGGCGTGGCTTGGGCATCCGATGGAAAGACGGCAGAAGTCAGTCAGCTGACTGCTGTAGGCTGGAAGGT